GTCGAGTCCCTGATTGTTCAATATTGCATGTCTCTATCTGTTTTCATGAGAAACCACTTTGAAGATATCAATATGTAATACAACAAGCATTGTTAATTCCCTACCACTTTGTTTGTAACTCTGTATTGTCTGTACTGTTCTTCTGCCATTTTCTAAAACGTTGTCTGTTCACGTTTTCCTCCTTTTATTTTTAAAAGAAAAAAAAAGAAAAAAAACAAAAGACCTTCAAAACAAAACAAGACTCAAACATTCCTACCTAAGAAATAAAAGCCTTAAAAAGGAAGGGCAATCTGACACACAGTGCCTGCCACATGGATGAACTCTGAAAGACATTACTTCTGCTAGAGGAAATGAGACAGTCACGAAAGGACAATCAGTAATTGTATGATTCCACCCATGTGAGTTCCCGACAAATTCACAGAGACAGAGTACAATGGTGGTTGCCCAGGGCTGGAGAAATGGGGCGTTACTAGCATTTCTGGGGTGCTGAGTGTCAAGTTTTGGAGGATGCAGCTCAAAAGCTGGTTGGTGGTGACGGCTGCATAACAAATATCTTTAATGCTGCTTAACTGGACACTTAACATGAGTAAGATGATCAATTGCACGCTATAGGGATTTTACCACAATTTTTAAAAACCAAAACGAATAAACGAAATTACAATTCATGAGAAAAAATAGTGCCTGGAAACAGGTTAGACTTTTTTTCGGGGCGCTGTTAGCTGAGTGTTGTCTCTCTGAGTGAAATCAGGTAAACCACACCAAAAACTCGTCTTTTGACCACCCCTCGGCACGTCATGAGTAAGGAGTTGTAGGATTTAGGCCAGTTTTATGTCTCGAGCACTGTAGACCCTGGAATCATGTGTCAACTTTTAAGTTGGAAATGAAAAATGGGTTTTGGGCAGGAAAAAAAAACTCTGAATCATGAACTCTTTTTACGGGGGAGACTGGGGTTGGAACCTTGGGCCTCCGGCCTTCTAGGCAAGCATTCGGCCACTGAGCTACACCCCCAGACCCTGTCTCAGGAACCAGTTATCTTGATGTCATAAATTAGGCTAAAAACTATACTGGCATCTAAACCACAGTAAGAGTAAATGCTTTAACAGTAGAGTAACGCCTCTCATAAAGAGATCCTTTCAGAGAACAAAATTTAACCGTTAAAAAAATAGTCCACGGGTACAGAACTGGTATGTCTGAAAAACTAGAAATCGTAATTTAATGAATCCTGTTATTTTCTCCATCGTGATTCAAAACTCAATCAAAAAATGTAAAACCCTCTGGACAGTGCCTAGTCATTAACTCACCAGAGTTAAGGGGGTGGAGCATATACAACTTCCTAAGAAACGCCACTCACTAAGAACCCACCTTGCTCCCTCCCATAAACCCCGAAGTCTGGCCAGCAATCTCAAGAGGGACTCAGGGCCAGAGGTGCTGGCACACAACACCGGGTTCAGCTGACCCGCAAGAGCAGGGCACGACCAGAGCCCAAGGCGTCTCCTTATCAAACTCCCCGGGCTGCCTCATCTGCAATTCAAGTCGGCGGCTAACCCTTTCAGATAGAAATCCTGCTGCAACCAGCAAATTCCCTGGTTAACTGGGCAGCCAGCGCCTTGGGCGCCAGGCGGAAAAGGGGCCCCAAACGAGAATGCCCCCCGCAGAGCCAGCGTCTTCTCACCAAAAGCCCGACTCGTCGCCCCAGAAACCTGTGGGTTGCATGTGGCTTCCGACACTTGATGAGCCAGAGAGGGGGTGGGTCGTCGGAAGCTACCTGAACCTTCCAGAGATTTGACCTTTGTAAGCAACCTTAAAGCTGCACTAGCAGGCACTTTTAACACAGAGAAAAGCCTCTAGCGTCTAGTTAACACCACAACTTGGGGGGATGGGGCCACTGAGAACAGGGCTGGAGAGGACATCACAAGGTGCGGTCTGAACATCCCACCAAGGGGTCAGCGTCCGACTGCCGTCCCTACCCACTTAAACTGAACCCGGCTGGACCAAGAACAGCCTCACTCCCCCGCAGGTGACTCCCCGGAAACCGAGCCTCCCGCAAGGCGCCCCGGCCCCAACCGCGGACCACTTACTGGCTTCGGCATTGTCGGTTCCTGAGGGTGCTGCCTCGATCTCCCGGAAACTCGGCTCCGCAGCAGCGGCTGACACGGCTCTGGCGACCTGGAGTCGGAGCGCAGCGCTCAGCCCGGGCTTAAGAAGGGGCCGGGCGGCGCCGCGTGAGTCACCGCCCAGCCCGCGGGGGGCGGAGGGGCGCGGGGCCCGGGCCGTGCGGGGCCTGAGATTGGGGAGGGGGCCGTGGGCAGGAAGTGGGGGCCCGAGCGGGGAACGGGGTGCGGAGGAAGCCGGGCGAGGGGACACCGTGGAGCGGGCGTGGCCGCCTGGGCTGGGAGCCTCTGGCCATCTAGGGCGCCCCCACCCCAGATAGTTGGAAAGTGGCTTCCAGCCTGGGGCCCTCGGACCCCCCGAGTGGGAAACTTGGAGAGCTGGGCACAGGGGTCCCTGCGAGGGCAGTGCGAGGCGCCCGAGGGGTCCCCGCTCCCCCAAGGCCGGTGTAGAAGTCGAAGGTAGCAGCACAGCCGCCTCCCGCGCCGCCACGCGACTCCCGTCTCCTTTTTGGGGATGTGAGAAGCTGGTTACGTTCTCAGAAACTGCTTTCAAACTGACATTTCGGTGGGGAGGGGAAAAAATTCTCAAATGTGTCTGCCAAGTTCCGTTCCTCCTCCCTCCCTCTCTCCCGCCCCAGTGTTTGTAGCTCATCCTTTTTCTTTCTCTTGTTACTCTTCGCTGGTCTCTTCTCTGATTCCTCGTTCACATTTTGCTATTCTGTTTCACTCGGTTTTGTCTCCTGGGGTTTCCAGTAGGGACGCCCTGGGGAGCCGTGGAGGCCTTTACTGGCTTTGGCCCCGTGGGAATTTTTGGCCACTGTGGGTACCGGGTGTTCCAGGGCAGTGTGGGGAGCAGTCGCTTCACACGTTGTTCTCCCCACACCTTGACTTTGAAAATACAGACTAGGGGCTGGGGATTTAGCTCAGCGGCACAGCGTCTGCCTGGCAAGTGCAAGGTCATGAGTTCGATTCCCGGTACTGGAAAAAAAGAAAGAAAGAAAGAAAATACAGACTAAAGGACTGCGTCTGTCCCCCAGGTGCGACACCTTTGGGGGCTGGCGCACATCTGGTGTTGGGGCAAATAGAAGGAAGTAGGTGTCTCCTCCCGCAGGGAATCTTGCGGCTGGGGGAGCTCAGAGCCTCATAACCTAAGCAAGCCCATTCTTTTGACCAAGGTCAGGAGCATTTCCTGGGCTTTCCCCTCTAAAGAGTTCCAGGACAGTTAGTTTTCTTCTTAAACTTTAAGAAAACAATTTAAGAGCATCTCTAAGTTTATAGGATTGTTTGAAACACAGTCCAGTCTCCAAATCCCCCACCTTCTTCGAAGCCTGTTGGGGAGAACTTTTACATTGTGTGGTTTCTGTTTTGTTGGTAATCATGAAAGTAGGGTGGGGGCTCAGCATGGGTGAGCGCCGTCTGTCAGTCCCCAGCACCTCAAAAAATAAAGCAAGAAAATGATAATCATGAGTGTTACAGGTTGTACACACAGTTCTGCTATGAGGTAGCTCAGAAATGAAAGAATTGTAAAGAGAAGCAAGTCCATATTCTCACACAGAAATCCTCAATCCTGGGTAATATACTCCTAGGAGTGAGAAATATTTTCTTCCCCCTTATGCCTAAGTAGCATTGGCACGGGGGTAAGACATGGGCTGTGGAGGCAGCCAGCGCCGGGTGTATTTTTTTTTTTTTTTCCCTCCGGTACCGGGAACCGAACTCAGGACCTTGCGCTTGCCAGGCAGGCGCTTTGCCGCTGAGCTAAATCCCCAGCCCCTGCCGGGTGTATTAATTGCCTGCGACTGCTGACATCCCCTGCTTCGGTTGTGGTGGCTTAAAAGACCTGGAGAGTGTTCTCTTAGCTGAGCAATCAAGGTATGGGCAGGTCCCGCTCCCTCCTGAGGACCCAGGGGGCTCCTCCCTGGCCTCTTCCAGTATCCTCTGGCTCCAGGTTGCTCCTTGGCATGTGGCAGCAACACTAGTCTCTGCCCTTGTCTTCATGACACCTTTTCAGTGTTCCTTTGTCTTCTTTTTTTTTTGTAAGTACTGTACTGGGATTGAACCCAGGGCCTTTGCACTGAGGTTACTTACCAGTCCTTATTATCATTATTTTTTTTTTGAGACAAAATTTCACTGTGTAGTCCAGGCTGGCCTCAAACTCACAGTGATCCTCCCGCCTCAGCCTCTGGA